CTACCGGTACACGGCCTGTATCCAGGCCATGCTAATGAATCATTTGAAGAATTGGTAGATGCTAGCCAAAAGGTACACCACCAGACCCGTCAGAATTTGTAATTTCGTACCAAAGTTGGTACTTTTTGCTTTCAAATGAAGGTTTTGGTACGATCGGTACAACTTTTACTGAAACTTAAAATATTTGTTTTTTATAATTTTTGTTTTTGTGTTAATAAGCTGTTTATTTTTTTTATTACTTTTTATATGTTTTGATAATGAATTATTTTTTTACAAAATAAATGGAAGATAAAAAATAGCCAATTTTTATTATATTCATTAAATATATATCGTTTTCGGTATAAACTAATATTACCACGAAATATTACAGGTACGTGACACATTGAAAAAGAAAATGACCGACCAAACATCAAAGTCCCTGGAATTTTTAAATTCACCGATAAAAGTAAGTTCAGTTTATTCTTTGAGGTAACTTTCTTTAACTTGTGGAAGACCATTGGATAGGTGGCGTTGACATCCACCCAGGGCGGCACAAGTCTGTTTACGATTAAAACTATATCCGACTAAACTAATTTTTTAAGCGACACGGGGGTAAACCGGGTGCGTCCTAATTATACAGGGTGTTCCAAAAGTCTGGCGACAATTGGCAGAAAACATACACTTGTGAAATAGCAACCAGGGAAAATTTACATGTTCCATAATTCACCCAATAAAATTTCTTAATATTATATTGTCACATACAGAAACATGATTCCATTTAGTAAATAGATATAAAATTTACAAGGTTATCAATGCTAATGAGACTTTTGAAATACCCTGCAGATGCCTCTGTATGCATTTTTTTATTTCTAGAAATGAAAGGAAGATGCCGTTAAACAAACGGTTAGTAAGCGAGTCTAATGTAAGCGACGATTGAGATAATCTGTATTTTATTTATATCCTTGGGGAAAAACACGAATCTTGTTCAAAAGGAATGGTTGGTAATTGAATGACAAAAATGGAAAATTTCTATGTAACACATTTTGTCTACTGAAATGTCATCGGACAAAAGTAATGTTCTTATCGCCTCCCTCTGTCTTTTTTACAAATACTTTCACGGTAACTGCTCCGATGAGCTGCTTTCGCTGGTTCCCAGACTCCATGAATTTAAGCGTTCTACTAGGCTGGCATCTCGCTCTCACCCTTTCACTGTCGAAACTGTTAAATGTAGCCGTCGTCTCTTCTACTCCAATAGCTTCATGTCTTGCACTTTTTGCCTGTGAAACTCCCTCCCCTTTTCCTGTTTTCCTGATAACTATAATCTCCAACTATTCAAATGTAACGTCAATCGATGTCTCCAGATGACTTGATCTATCCCCTATCCTTCTCTTCCTCCTTTCCTCTATCACTCCTATTTGCTCTCGCTTCCAACTCCCTGTAACCCCTTGCGTGCTAGTGGCTTCCCGCCTTGCTTGGGGTGAAACGCTTAAAAAAAAATTATATATATATATATGCTTGGGGAAGGGAGGTGTAAAAGAAAACAACTGTTATAATTATGCACCGAGTGCAAACGCTGAAGATGTAGAAACACTAAATTTTAAAATTTCTGGCGTCTGACGTGTCTAGACTAGCCGCTCAGCCGATCTCATTTGATTTTTTAACGCTTTTGTTTTTATCGCCACTTTTAAACATGTCACAATGTGATAACAGAAGATTTGTTACGAAAGGTGAAATGTTTAAGAAAATGAATTCAAATTTACTGCCGAAGTTTCAGAAATCAGTGCGCTTTCTGTACATTTTTGCCTCAGTAAATTATTTTCTCTTAATTAAAGCAGCATTTTTAAATCGAAATTAATAATCCATTCACAGTTATGTAAATTATATGAAAAAATTCTTCAGAATATTTTTAAGAAATAATAATTTTAGGGTCTGTATTTGTTTGTAAATTTTTTTTTTATAAATGGTAAAACAAAAGATTATTTCTCCCAAGCAACTTTTTAAAAACCAATTAACCCAATCAAGGTGATAAAGTCACTAAGACGCAAGGGTGCTACTGGAAGTGAAAGAGAAGGAAACCGGAAACGGAATAATAGTATAAATTTCAGAGTTTAGGCGGACAACGTTAGAAATATAGAGTTGAAGTAGAATTTTGAAGGAACCAGAAACCCAATCCTAAACAAGAAACAAGGAATAAACTTCAGACCATTAAGATTACATTCAAGCCTGAAACAGACCATCACTGCTCGGATTTGACCTTAATGTTCACTTTTATATTTACATACGTTCTATCCCCGACTTTTGACCATAAATACAGCATACCATAAAACTACATTTTTATCATTATATATACGAATACCAGGATGTAGATAAAAGAATACTGTTTACCATCCAGACACCACATTGGTTCTTGAAAATAACTGAAACGTTGGAAAATATTTAAACGAATATCAACACAGACATGAACTGCGGACAATTTTGATATATATATATATATATATATATATATATATATATATATATATATATATATATATATATATATATATTTTAATCATTTCACCCCAAGCAAGGCGGGAGTGTCACTGATTCGCAGGAGGGTACATAGAGTGAAGGTGAGAGAAAAAAAAAACTGTGTATTGGTGGAATGAGGAAGGGATATAAAAGATGAACGGTGTTTAACACATCAGAAGATGGCGATTGACGTTGCATTTAAATTTTTGAAGATTGTAGTTATCACGAAAGCAAGTAAAAGGAAAAGAGTTCCATAGGCGGGAAATGTGAGCCGTTGGAGTAGAAGTGGCGGTTACATTTATCTATTTCAACGGTAAATGGGTGGGAACCTAGATGCTAGTCTAGTAGCACGGTTAAATTTATGTATTAGATATATATAGTAAGCACAGAATATGCCTTGCGGTCTTGCTTTGGCAATTAGTTGGAGATTCGTCTCCAGCTCAGCTTGTCGAACTCTCTGCCTGCGGGCAGGGTGGAACCCAGACGAGACTATGGCGAAGGACAGAGTCTCGTCTGGGGTGCTAGACAGCGACCCGACCCCGTGTATACATGGTCTACGGGGAATTTTTGCCCGAGCCTAAGGGGTCAGTTTTGCCCCGCATTAAAAAACGACCTTGTGCCACATCCTGCCTCGCGGGTGAGGTGAGGTAAATAAACTTGTTTCGGAAATTGCCTGCTAACCAATTCCCTGTCTTTCAGTAGTGTATTCTCTTTTACAATAAACCTTTTTTCTTCCATTTATGTCCGTGTTGCTGTTCCTTTCACTCGAGTACCACCTTTGTCTCTTTGTAACATTCTTTAAGGATGCAACAGTCTCCGAACACGAATAATTTAGCGAACAGGTGTAGGCCGTTGTCTATATTATTGAAAATACTATCTTGCACGCAACAGTCTTGAGAGGAAGGGGAACGGAATGGAAAGAAAAGATAGCTGATTGAGTTAAGTAGAGAAAGACGGAGACACAAGTACGAGTAGTTTGGAGATTCAAGAGAGTTTTCCGTAGACAGCGGGAGATGTACGAGGACATAAACTCCCAGATCATGCATGTGGACTTTAAAATCCTTTGTAAGTAGAGAAAGGTAACCCGGAATCGAGATATCTGAGGAGGGGAATAGAATAATTGAGGTTAGTCTCGCAGAGAGCTAGAATATTCGCAGTCTTTTCTAAAAAGAACGATTCTGCACTGCAGAACTTGATACGAACACCACGAATGTTGGAGAAGGAAAGGTTAAGGGGTTTAGGTGATTATTGTTGACCTGGTTTAGGTTTATATGTTGTTTACAGGCATTATGTGTTATATTGGTAATGAGAAGGTCCTAAGGTAGTCATAGCAGTCGGCCATTTGATGTGACATATGCAGAAGGGAAATGGCGCAGACTGCAACATAATGTGTCCTCGACGTTGCCCACCGGAGTTACCTGCAGGGACACCCTTCCACTCGCGACGTGACACTGCAAGAATCCCGATATTATGCAACTGTTGATCAGAGTAGCTTCTCAAGACGCTACGCAAGACTTCGTGCTCCTAACAACCAGTTGGGAACAGCAATCAGAAAACTGCCAACCCGGTACTCTTAGTATGAAGAGACGTACCCACCAATCATACACGTCACAAGAAACTCATGACAGCACCACTATTAACGCCTGAAAAGATGAAAAAAAAAAAAACAAAAACAAAAAAAAAACGGAAACCCCTTCCTACATAGGAAACAAAGGGCGAGCCTCTACTCTTGTCCAATTGAAGGGGGAGGAGTATGGACAGGAAAGCCTATCTACCGTGTTTCATGGTATGTTAGAATCTCACCCTGTTTCTTTAACACAAACAGTAAAAAAAAAGTACTTCACGAGTCTTACTCGAAATTAAAGTATATTGTGGGTTAATATTTCCCTATAGGCTACCAGGAGGTACTTTGCCTAACTCCTGAATACTGTAATATGTAAATGAGAGAGATTTTATATACTATTAAAGGTGGGAGGTAAAATAAGAAAGTAGCAAGAATATATAATAGTAAAATAGAACAATTATAAGATTATCTTCTTTAATAAACGTTATGTGATGAATAGAAATAAGTTTCTACATGAAGTTTTGCTTTATTTTGACTGAGGATTATAAGATAGAAATAGTCGTACCTTGAATGACCCATTACGGATGCATTTAGGGCCCCAATCGAAGTGAAAGCGACACAGGCTGATATCATGATGGTCAGGGGATTGTAGAAGCGTCTTATGAAAAGCTGAAAAAATATCAATATATCTTTAAGATATCTATACCGTTCTATTAATATCAAAAATAAAAAAAATAGCAAGAATTGAAGTAGAGAAAAAAAAGAGAGAGAACGAGAAATATAACGAGAGAGAGAAAAGAGAGAACGCTGTAAAATAACGAGAAAGAGAGAACAGTGTAAGATAACGAGAGAGAGAAGAGCAAGATGGAGAGAGAGAGAGAGAGAGAGAGAGAGAAGAGTAAGATAGCGAGAGAGAGAGAAGACTAAGATGGCGAGAGAGAGAAGACTAAGATGGCGAGAGAGAGAAGAGTAAGATAGCGATAGAGAGGAGTAAGATAACGAGAGAGAGAGACAGAGAAAGAGAGAGAGAGAGAAGAGTAAAATAGCGGTGCAGAAGAGTAAGATAGCGAGAAAAAGAGAAGAGTAAAATAGCGAGAGAGAGAAGACTAAGATGGCGAGAGAGAGAAGAGTAAGATAGCGATAGAGAGGAGTAAGATAACGAGAGAGAGAGAGAGAGAGAGAAGAGTAAAATAGCGGTGCAGAAGAGTAAGATAGCGAGAAAAAGAGAAGAGTAAAATAGCGAGAGAGAGAACAGTAAGATAGCGAGAGAGAGAGAGAGGGAGAGAGAGAGAAGAGTAAAATAGCGGTGCAGAAGAGTAAGATAGCGAGAAAAAGAGAAGAGTAAAATAGCGAGAGAGAGAACAGTAAGATAGCGAGAGAGAGAGAGAGAGAGAGAGAGAGAGAGAAAGGGAGAGAAGACTAAGATAGCGATAGAGACGAGTAAGATAACGAGAGAGAGTGGGAGAGACGAGTAAGATAGGGATACAGGAAAGACAGCGAGAAAAAGAGGAGAGTAAAATAGGAGAGAGAGAAGAGAGAGAGAAAGAAAAAAGAGAGACGAGTAAGATAACGAGAGAGAAAAATAACGAGAGAGAGAAAAGAAAGAACAGAGAGAGAGAGAGAGAGAGAGAAAAGAGAGAGAGATAAAGAAAAAAGAGAGAGAAGCGTAACATAACGAGAGAAAGAGAGAGAGAGAGAAAAGAGAGAGATAAAGAAAAAGAGAGAGAAGCGTAACATAACGAGAGAAAGAGAGAGAGAAAAGAGAGAGATAAAGAAAAAAGAGAGAGAAGCGTAACATAACGAGAGAAAGAGAGAGAGAAAAGAGAGAGATAAAGAAAAAAGAGAGGGAAGAGTAACATAACGAGAAAAAGAGAGAGAGAAAAGAGAGAGATAAAGAAAAAAGAGAGGGAAGAGTAACATAACGAGAAAAAGAGATATATAGATAGAAAGAGACATAGAAAGGAAAAGAATGGCACCTCCGTATGTTTCTGTCTTTATAGAAAAGATGACGTAATTGCATTGATTTAAAGATTAACAAAAACCTGAACAGAAAAGTGAAAGCGACATTTAAATACCAAAAGATACTTACAAGAGCCACTGCGTTGGATTGAAGAAGTTCGCGTTTTGATATCAACGTCATATAAGCCAACAATGTGAGAATGTATTCAGTTATGGTGACAATGAATGTAATTGTCACTCCTCGAGGCAAATCCCTGAAATAATACAGAACATAAGATTATTTGGATACGGGCACAAGATGGCAAGACAAGTAAGTAAGATTATTCCCGGCAGCGGATTAGCGTTAAGAGAAGAAAATCCGATGGAACATTTCTAATGATGTCGGTCCCTATTTACCGTAGGTGTAAACATACAACGAGGCCCTCACCTAGCTTTCCACCGACCGACCAATGACGACTCCATTCCAGTTCGTGTGTTATGGATCGATCTCCACAATTTCCTGTCCTTCGTAGCTCTTAATAATTTGTGCCTTTTTGTTATTTCTTCCGCCATCCATTTACTGAACTTCCCTAAGTAATGTATGCGTTGTTTTCATCTATAACAACCTGCTGCAAGCTCACAAGGAAAGAAAAGACGAAAACAAATGCCAAGGCGAGAAATCATGACTAGGAACGCTGTTTTCAATATATTTGGGTGTTTATCAAGGGCTTTACTTGGTCGATTTGGGTTGGTTTGTAGGTAGGTAAACACCTGGGACAATCTGTCTCATGTTCCTCCCTACCAACTCTCTGTCCTTCTCAACATTACAACGCGCGGCTGGCAACACGAACGGGCAGCACTTGGACTACCCGAGAGACAGTCTGTCCTCCGGCAATGGCTAACTGAAACTGACTACAATTCTGCTCGACATAGATTTTGTCACAAATGTGAATGTGTATTCCTGGCCCTATTCTATAGAGCACTTTTAGGGCCGATGATCATGATCCTGTGGGATAGAGAATTTCCTACCCAAACAAACTAGTCTTGCAAATCGTTATAAATTTCCATCTTGGCCTACAGATGGAAAAACTTCAAAGACATTTATATCTCTTCTTGACAGAATACACACGTCATACTATATTCATCTTAGAGGTTTTATCGTATATCAGTAGATAGCAAACTGGTCTGTTTATTATTAACGTAACCCGTTTGATTCTGAGTGCATTTTTTACTTGTGAACTTAAACTTGATAAATATATATTTTCAACCTTATGACCCCCGCATGTGTGGGTGCGTGTATATATATATATATATATATATATATATATATATATATATATATATATATATATATATAATCTAAATTTACTAATCTAAAAATATGGTTCCATCGCTACACAGAGTTAAAGATTTTAAACTTAAATCTATAATTAAATTTAAGGTTTAGTTTCTGTTTTTGAAACATGGTAATTGGTGTGTTGATGGGACCCTAATTTTAAATTAGGAAATTTATAATGTTTTGACTCTACCGAATTGTATTGAGCATTGTTTTTTTTTTTAAATAAAAATAATTAATAAGAACACCGGATTATAAATCTTACTGTTCTTTCTCATTATTTTAAATATATATATATATATATATATATATATATATATATATATATATATATATATATATATATATTGTAATGTGGTCACCGTACGAAATATAACCTGTTACATGTGCTGGTCTCCAAATACAAAACACCTGTCTGGGTCATGAGTATCATACCAAGGGTACATGGCACAGTGAATAAAGGCGTTAGTTAGATCCAGTGACAGGACCCAAAGAGTGTGAGGCAGTGGAGAACTTGGAGTGGGAAATTAACAGGAGATAACTGATAACTGACATCTATTAAGCATGGCACATGGAACTAGAACAGTCTGCCCCAGTGAGCGAAATAATTCGACATTCCAACCACATGAATAAGTCCGGAGCGTACAACGGCCGAAACGTTGTAATAAATATGGCGACATAGTCCGAATGTAAATAGTGTACATAATACCTCATCTCAGAAATATAGACAGATACAAAAAGCAAGCTTTTATGTTCATAGTTGTATTTTGGTGGTTCGTAATGTGCTGGTCAACATTTGCATGAAAGGCACTGAATTTCGACATGTGGCAAGTCAATCTACGAGTAAGTGTGGTGCCTGTGTGACCGATGTAATAATTTAATACGTTTTTTGATTGTTGATATTGGAGATGTAATTTCTCAGAGTGTATGAATATTCATAAACTTTATTTTTACATAGTGGAGATTTTGAGGTCCCGTGACTTTTTGGTAATAATTAGATGTTTTGAACTGAATGTATGGATTATTTGATGTGTCTAGAGTTATAGGAATGTTTTATTTACCAAACACTGTCAGCATATTGAGACCGTATATATATATATATATATATATATATTAAAAAGAAGAGAAGAGAGGTGCCGCAAACGTTTTTGGTTGTAATGTGTTTTTTTTTTGTTTTTTAAATGTTATGCTTTATTTTATGAAAATAAAGCATAATATTTAAAAAAAAAATCCACATTACAACCAAAAACGTTGGCGGCACTTTCTCTTCTTCTTTTTTAATATACATACTTTTCTCTCGTTGGAACCACTATAACCTTTCTTTTTTATATATATATATATATATATATATATATATATATATATATATAATGAGACATGTTTCATTGAATAATTTAGACAAGTTTTGTCTACTCATTTTCAACTGGATTCTTTCATATACACGGAATAGATTATTTTTGGTGTGATTGTAGAGGGCCGTGTGGGTTTGAGTGTTGTTGTATTAGAAATACGTACGTTTATTTCCTGCTAGAAGAAGGTCCAACTACAAAAAAATGGCGAACTCAAATTGAGTCCAACAGAAGATGTCAAGAAGACAAACGAAACAAGATATATATATATATATATATATATATATATATATATATATATATATATATCAACAAATATATGTATTAAACAATACAATTTTACAATTTTACATTTGGGTTTTTTCTTTGGTGAATGTTCGTACGTACATGCATGTGTGTATAATTTTCATCGCGTTTTCCCAAGACTAGGCAAAACGTGGATTTCTACGAGAGCTTACATTGTAGAAGTGTTCGCTGAAATGAAGAAATGACAAAGAGAACGAGACAAGAAGTCACCCAGTATTTATAGTGTAGGGAGAGTGACCTCTAGTGTATAATTAGGGAATTAAGGAAAAGCTAACACCGACATGATCCTTAAAGGAAGAAAGAAAATTACCGTTGATACATATTATCTATTCCGAGTACTTTCGACATTAGCACAATCACCAAAAATCTTGTCCGTGAATATGAAAGGAACCAACTGAAAATAAGTAGCCAATACTTGTCTAAATTATTTAATGAAACATGTCTCAATAAAAACATGCTGTCAAAATATACGATATATATATATATATATATGTGTGTGTGTGTGTGTGTGTGTGTGTGTGTGTGTGTTTAAACACTTACATGAATAATAGTGAGCAAGTGACGGCAAACTGTATAGTGACATGCTTCGTTCTGAGAAAGAGCTTATTCAAAACAAAATAACGCATTATTCGGACAGTTGTCCCCATCTTTATTACCATATTAAATATGGCAATAAAGATGAGGACAACGGTCCGAACAATGTAAATAGTTACAATACCTCAGCTCGGAAATATAGACAGATCCTGGAGAAGGCCAGGGCTTAAAATGGCCAAGACGTCGTGAGTATGACAACAAAGGTTTTCAAAATAAAACTTACCTGGCCGGGTTTTCCATTTCCTCTACTAGACTCATCACTACCTGCCTGGAACGAAAATGATGTTTAGAGATTTAAGGCTTACTGATTTATTTTGGATATCGTTTCGAAATATATAACGTATATTTTAGCTGCTTAAGCGTGTACATTTCTCTGTATTCCGTAGACTAACTTGCTATTTGTCTGCTCTTTTTGATGACTAAACTAGTGGCACTGGTGTTTTTGTTAGGATAAGCCAAATAATTCTTGATTAATGCTGTCTGTAATTTGGGTATACACGTTATGAAATGGTAATGAGCGAGGACTTACAAAAATAAATGCTATGCCGAATAGGATCTTTAGTTTAGGCACTACGGTTTTGAATACATTTAGCAAATAATTAGATACATTCAACCCAATAATGAAATTCGACTCTATTTAGCCTTTTGCTTTACATCGTCGTTATCATAATGCCGAATGTTTTTACATCAAAAAGTGATATCCATTGATTTTTGTTGTTAAATTTTACGTCTGTTACACCTCAATGCCCACTGTCCCATTTTGTGGGCTAGTGAACATTAATGGGTTATAAGTTTGTGGGCTAGTGAACATTAATGGGTTATAAGTTTGTGGGCTAGTGAACATTAATGGATTATAAGTTTGTGGGCTAGTGAACATTAATGGGTTATAAGTCTGTGGGCTAGTGAACATTAATGGGTTATAAGTTTGTGGGCTAGTGAACATTGGGTTATAAGTAGAAACCTATAATTAATACCGGATTATTTTTTAAATTACGGTTTTCTAAAATTAATTAACACTGGATTTTACAGTAAATTATCAATATTAATCATAACAAAAATATGGCCGAAAGCTTTAGAGCCGAAATGCTTAAGCAATGTCTACACAGAATCTATACGTAATTTTTCTTGTACACAAAAAATATTTTTGGTAAATTTGTTATAAGTCTTTAACAAAACGAAAATTCCTCATCACAAAAATTCATACAGAACTTTGAGAAATAAGTTATAAAATGGAAAATAAATTATTAAAAGCATCAACAAAGCATCAAATGTAACATTTATAATTACAAAATTTAAAACATTTAAAAAGTTTATTTTAAAAAAGACAAAATAATAGATTAGATATAACAAGATATTTTTAAAAAAATTGAATTTTAAAAGCTGAATATGCAAGTTAGTAACCTTCAATAAGCAAGAGTCGATAAGTTGGGACAGATATAAGACATATGCTGGTAGATATAAATTACAAAACGCTCGTGCAAAAAAAAAAAAAAAAAA